GAGGATGCAAACAGATTGTTTAACTCGTCATTGAAGCAGTGACCTGGTATACATCCTTCATGCTGCCAGAACGGTGCTTGAACCCACCAACCATAAACTCCGCATCCACCTAGTGGAGACGCTGTTTTGAATGTCTCTAGATTTGGCGATTGAGTTTCAAAATTCCTTCGGCAAGTTGTTGTACTTTATGACCCACCAACTCACGCAATTCAAACAGTCCAAAACCGGGTTTTCACCTTGCAACCCATTCAAGTAATACGCTAGTCCACACAGTTATCCGCAAGATGCATGCAACAGCTCAACCACTACTGTGCATGTTGCTGACACAAAACTTTTCATAATCAATACTTGTCCTTGTCGTTCAAACATGATATCATAGCTCGAGCATAAGCAATGCACTGATACTCGAAAATGTTGGCCCGATATTCCACATAGTCGCATAATACACATAATACACATAATAAGCATAATACTCTCGATCACCATTTCGAAAGATCCAATGTAGTTCTACCTTCTCCAGTGCTAAAGCTGGCCAAACGTTGATTTGAGTGCACATCTTGGCAAAGTAGTATGCATCGGTGATAAAAGAATACTCCTTTCTTCTGCTAGCTTATATATATGCATGGATAAGATAATATCTCTCTTGCGGCTAGACTCGACTGGCTAGCAAAGCAAAACTTGTGGAGTGTACGGGGTGATTCTGTCTAAGCGTTCACAATCTCTAACACCCCTTGCAGCACCGTTCTCCAAAAAAGCTCAGACATTTCCCTGTGGCTTCCTACAATGCATTTTTGATAAATAGCAAGTATTAGTCAACTGCGCTATCAGATGGCGTCACTGAAGCTTTAAATTACTCTTCCTCGGCGAGGACCACCATTATCCATCATATAGGGTACCAATCCTGCTATCACACGATTTATTGCATCACAAATCCCAGCTCCATACATCCAGGCAGGCTAAAACGCTGACAGTATCCAACTAGCTACGCACCTCAAAAGAGCAGACAGCTCCATCAAGCCTGCTTTCAACACAAGACAATTTTGCTAACACTTTCCAATGTGGCCCTTCACTGGAAGAAATGGAGATCAACAGTGTAATACAGGGTTAGGCGATGGTCTACTGAACGAATTGAAATCTTTCCTTCTCAAAGAAAATACAGAGGCAAAGCGATTTGGATCTACCGAGTCAACAAAATTTGATTCTTTGCCTCATGACAGGCAAGTTCGCAGTAAGCTACAACGACTTCCACAAATGACAGATGATGAGTTGTACAAATTGGAAGAGTATAAAAATGCTAACCAGTTACACAAGACAGTCTCCATCAACTGTGCCGAAATTGAGTACAATTTACATCAATGTTATGAACAATTTTCGACCATTCGAAATATGTTTCAATACCCATGCTTTCAGCAGCAAAATGACGTGAAAAGGTGTAAGAACTTACAGACTGATGGATTGAAAGTGTTACATTATCAAGATTGCTATAATGTACAGCAATGCAATGCAATGAAGTCATTTGTGGATCAGGTTTTTGTTAAAAACTTTGGTGAGTTTGGAGATATGAGTGGCAAGGAGGACAAGATCGATGCTTACTATCGTGATCTAAATCATGGATTTAGATACTTTTGGTCTTAGTGTAAACAGTGTCAATAGTCAGAAATACAGAGTCCAGCTTACTACCGGCATAGGTACGATCTTTATATAGAAATTGCTTGAAATCAGTTCAGTGATTCACTAATGTCGGTAAATAGGCGCACATTCAAGGTGCTGTTGCCATTTGTAGTTGCTTTATTTGGTATACGGTGGATTGCTACTCCACGATATCCTATCATTTCTGAATGAATGCCTTATCGTGCTTAAGTTTCGAAATGAAGTGGTCCTGGCTCAGCCATAGTTACAAAAAATGAATTTGGCCAATGATCGAAGACACCGAGTGAATTTGCTCTCCAGCACAGCTTTGATTCAAAAAGAAACAAAGACAGGAGAAATCCACGTCCCACAAGCAGCAGCTTTGTATGGTCTCACCAGCAGCAAGGAGGAATAATGAATTATGCTGGACTGAAACGTAGTACATGCTATAGAAAAGAGTGTACGGCTGCGAAAAGGAAAAAAAAAAGAAAACAAAAAAGACAGCTATATTAGCCAAGCGCATTCCAACTCAGTGAAGCCTGAAGTCTTCGCAAATGAAGTACTTGAATAAGTCTAAAGTCTAAGTTTGGGGCAGTTAATATGAGGCTACAAACTACAGGGATAACAAGAGCAAGATGCTTTGTGCGTTCTTTGTGAATACCATTGGTAATAGGAAAACAGATCAAATTCAAAAACTTTGACTACATTTTGTGGCAAATTTGATTTAAGACTTTCTTTTCCAGTTACCACTAAATAACCCTACATTAGACACCAGTTTTATACACATTTATCCTGTAAGTGTAGTTTGTCAGAGTTATAACAATCGTAATGAATACAGTTGGGGTATGTCGTGTCCTTTTCCCAGAAATTGTGTTTCTAATTTTTTTTTTTTTTTTTTTTATTCTTTTCGCTTTCCGCTTTTCGCTGTCTTGGGGCGTACAATACGACAACGATATAACAACATAGAGTACACACGAGCTTCTTGAAGAGCAAAGAGTCAACTATCATTACCCATTATTACTCACTCGTGTATTTGCTACACTTGCGTACTTGTTTTTTGTTCGACGTAAGAATCGCCTTCAAACTCCTGTTCAGCCTTTGGAATCAAACGGGAGCAGGTACTAGCTTTGAACAAATCGGGAAATATGGAGTCAGATCATCACGGAAAATTGAATGGGATGGGGGTATTGAACGGAAAAGATGACTATGCAATCAGCATTGACCCCATTACACTTACTGTGAACGAATGCATGATCATGGTATCGGCCATGAGGCGATCCAACAGGTGGTCGTCTGGTGGGGTTTCTTCATTGTTCAATGCTGGTGAGCTTTTTGGAACCAATGACGATGACGATACATTTTCAGATAGTTTGGATATCTCGTCCATTTTGAATAATCATAGCTCAAGTAATGACAAGAGTAATGAGTCCAACAATGTTGGTGGGAGTTTCAATAAGCACTTGCAGGGCAATCCTTTACTTTCGTCCTTTCTACAGTTGCGTTCGATTCTTTTGGAGTCGCAGAATGTTTTTGACATTGACAGCTTGACCATCCTACAACCATTCTTGCTAGTCATCAAGTCATCGTCAACGTCTGGGTTTGTCACTGGACTTGCTTTGAACGCAGTCTCGAAATTTATCACCTATGGTGTCGTATCAACAAGGTCAAAAAATTTGCAAACTTCTTTGATTCAAATCGTGTCTTCACTAACTCATTGCCGGTTTGAAGCAGCAGAACAAAGCGCTGATGATGCTGTTTTGTTGAGAGTTTTGCGCTTGTTAGAGAAGCTTATGGAGAGCCCTCTCGCTTATTTACTTGCAGATGACAGCGTGTCTGAAATTGTTCAAACCTCCTTATCTTTGGCCTGCAACAAGAAGAGAAGTGAAGTGTTGAGAAGAGGAGCAGAGATGTCGTTGGCCTCGATCACTGTTGTTATATTCAGAAAGCTTAGAGAGATTGAACCTGACAAGGAGATTGCCATTGATCTTCAAACAAACTTTACTGACACAAAACTTCCAGAAGATACAATCGGGGGTACTCTTGCTGAGAATCTACAAGCAAATGTCTCTCAGGAGCAATTTGCCGTCAATAAGGATCCACAAGAAGAACAAGCATTTGAAAACAAGTTGGAGCCCTCATTTGGAATCAAATGCATCAACGAATTCCTTGGAATATTGGTGTCAATAATATCCCCTTCCAACCAGTATCAGCATATGGAGAGTACAAGGGTGTTTGCATTGTCGCTAATCAATACGGCTGTTGAAGTTGCTGGGTCTCAAATATCGAAGCATTTGTCTTTGCTAACAATGATTGCGGATCCTGTTTCGAAGCATGTATTACAAATTATAACCACTACCGAGTCATTGGCGTTGTTGAAACCTGCTCTTCAATTATTTTCCACGATATCGATTGTTTTGGGAAACGAATTGAGGCCACAATTTGAGCTCTCGATGATATTGATTTCAAGGTCTATTTTACCAAGGCAAAGTAAGAGAAAAGGAGATCAAACAAAAGGAGATAACCTTCAAACTAGATCGCCGGTCTCGAGGGAACTACTCTTGGAGTCTTTGAGCTTGCTATGGTCTCGCAGTCCCACATTTTTTACTGAGCTATACGTTGATTTTGATTGCGATTTTGACAAGTCGAATCTTGCAGTGGATACCATCAAGTTCCTCTGTCAATTATCGTTACCCGAGTCGGCACTTAATACAACAGTCAATGTTCCGCCATTGTGTTTAGAAGGAGTCTTGCATTTCCTCAATGGAGTGAGTGAAAGGTCGAAAACGTTTCGCCATGCTGAAAAACCAGCTTCCGCAAACACTCGACTTGACAAGAAGCAAAAGAAAAGTGCATTTATTGAGTGTACTGAGGTCATTAATAAGAAACCCAAGGATGGCATTAAGCGTTTAGTCAGTGAGAGTTTTATTAGCGACGAAAATGATGTCGGCGAAGTTGCTAATTTCTTCTTTACAAAAGCAGGAAGATTAGACAAAAAAATGTTGGGAGAGTTCTTAGCTAAGCCTTCGAACTCTGATCTACTCAAGCATTTTATTGGCTTGTTTGATTTTGAGGGTTTGAGAGTCGATGAAGCTCTTCGAGTCTTGTTGAAAACATTCAGACTTCCTGGAGAGTCTCAGCAAATCGAACGGATTGTTGAATCATTTGCTCAGACTTACGTTGCTTGTCAGAAGGATGGTTTGCGTGAAAACAGGCCTCCCCAGTTTGTTGACGCTGAAGGAGTAGATGTGGAAGAAGACAAGTCAGAAGTGGTGAAACCAGATAAAGATTCTGTCTTTATCTTATCTTATTCCATTATTATGTTAAACACTGATTTGCACAATCCACAAGTTAAGCGCCAGATGCTCTTGGATGACTATAAGCGGAACTTAAGAGGCACTTATAACGGTACAGATTTTCCAGAATGGTACCTTGCGAAAATCTATCTGTCCATAAAGGACCGAGAAATCATTATGCCGGAAGAGCACCACGGCACCGAGAAGTGGTTTGATGACGTTTGGCACAACTTGATTTCAACTCAAGATTTCACACAAAGCACACATGAAATCTTGGAAAGCTCCTCCGTCTGCGAGTTTGACAAGGAACTATTTAAATCAGTATTCACGGATATAGTTGACATGATCTTGACCATCTATAAAGGGGCCTCGGATGATCACGTGTTGACGAGATTGATGTCTTCATTGGACAAGATATTCAACATCTGCCTAGCATACGGTATGGAAGAAGAACTTGATGGTTTAACTTACAGACTAATTGAGATGTCCAATCTAACAAAAACAAAGTTGCAGAAAGTGTATGTGGATGATAACATTCGTCCTGAAATTCCCATCACTCAAATCAAAATTGAGGGTAGAAAAGGTGACTTGTATGTTAGTGAGTTATCAGTGTGGTTCGGACGTAACTTTAAGGCGCAATTGGCAGCGGTTATGTTATTTAGATTGATAAAAAAGACCAATTGCAAGATCACTAAATCATGGGACAAGATTATTGAGATTTTTATGAACTTGTTCGAGAATTGTTTGATTGAGCCGAATATGTTTACCGAATTCCAGAGAAAGATTCAACTTGGGCCTTTACCAAAGGTGCCACCAATCTTTGCGATCAAAAAGGCAAAAGCTTTAAACAATTCAGGTCTTTTGTCAACCTTCTCATCTTTTCTAAAAGGGTACTCTGACGATCCACCTGAGCCCACCGACATCGAAATCGAATCTACAATCTCAACTATGGACTGCTTAAAGTCGCTTAATGTTTCGAACGTATTCTCAATCATGTCAAAGAGCGGGCAGGCAAATTTGGAAAAATTTATAAACTTGTTGCTTGCGTCACTTCCAAACTACTCAGAAGAAGTCAAGCGAGTTTACGAGTCAGAGACTTTGTTTATTCTTGAGACATGTGTTTGCTTTTCGTTGTTGTTGAATGATGAGCGTTTACTGCATGTTGTTTTGAGCAAACTCAAAAACCATCAGTTGAGTGGCCTTGGTGAGTTGAGATTGATTGCGTACAAGTTGCTTTTGCTAAGATACTGTGAGGATGAAACAGAGTTGATTGCCACTGTAACACGTGCTGGTTCTATTGATAGGGATCTTGCAAGCAAGTACGGAACCCAGATTGTGCAGCCATTGATGTCATTGACTGATGAAGATTCCTGGTGCTGCAAGATCTTGCTCAAGGAGGAGTCATACTGGAACACCATGCGATTCTATGGGTCGTTGCAGGCCCATGCATTTGATATAGTACCCTTTCTCGATGCGCTCATCAAGAGTTCAGAGCAAGAAATCACCCCTGAAAATTTCCTTCCTATTTTGGGACTTTTGGATGAAATCTCTTCATTGGGTGCCATTGGATCACAGTATGAATGTGAAAACGCGGCTTCGGCAGCCAAAAGTGGTGATGATCTGTACTATAGGGAAGTCATTACCCTTTCGAAAAATTCGATTGACTTGACTTCCACTTTAGCGGCGATGCTGAAGGGGGACAGCTTTCAAAAGCGGGATTTGTTTTACTCTGCAGTACAAGCATTGGCACACCAGTGTTTTAACCCATGCAAAGAAGTGAGAGAGTATTCCGTAAAGGCTCTCTCCACCACGGTATTGTCCTTTGATGTTGATCGTAAAGAAGCATTCAATGGTATTTTTGAATGCGGACTTTTCCCCTTGCTAGCAGAGCTAACCAAGCCTGAGGTTTTCCAAGGAGGTGTAAATGGGTTTGATAAAACGTACAGTGAGATTTTTCGTCTTCTTTGCAAAGTGTTTTTGAAGCAGGTTGACGACTTGGATGTTGAAACTACTGGGAAGGTGTGGACCGATCTTTTGGGTGGTGTTGAGAAGTTCCACTCTGCCAATTCAAAGTTTTTGACACCCGAGTTGACCGAATCTACATCAGAAAGTTTGAAGAACTTGTTGTTGGTGTTGCAAACGAATGGGTTCTTGTCTGAGAAGAATCCTGAGATTGTTGAAACCACTACAGAGAAGGTGGAGAAATTGTTTCCGCATTTGATTGGAGAGTTGCATGTGCAACCAGAAAAGAGGGCTAGTGGAGAACCGCATGCGCAACCAGAACAAGAAGTTAGTGCAACTGATGATTGAATGTTTCAAATAGATGGTGATGTATAGATTTGATGATTTTGTTTTAGTAAGATATGAATGTAGCCCAGAGAGGATGAAGAAAAAGAGAGAGAGAAAAAAAAAAAAAAAAAAAAATGTCTTGTGTTTTTCAGTTCCGATGTCCCCTGTATTCTGCAAAAATGACATCAACTCGAACTTATGGTGAAAGATCTGAGTCGACCAGCTCTCCGGTCACAGCCCGGCTATTCCAATTGATGGAACTGAAAAAATCTAATTTGTGTGCTTCAGTGGATGTCAGAAATACCAAAGACCTCTTAGCATTAGTGGACCAACTTGGACCTTTCATCTGCTTGGTAAAGACACACATAGACATTATTGATGATTTCTCATACGAGGACACAATTGTACCATTGCTTGAGCTTTCAAAGAAGCATAGCTTTATGATCTTTGAGGACAGAAAGTTTGCCGATATTGGAAACACTGTGAAGAACCAATACACTGGTGGAGTATACAAGATTGCGCAATGGGCAGACTTGACAAATGCGCATGGGGTCACAGGAGAAGGAGTGGTGAAAGGTTTGAAGGAAGGAGCTAGTGAAACTACTGCTGAACCCAGAGGATTGTTGATGCTAGCCGAACTATCGTCCAAAGGTTCATTAGCGTATGGAGAATACTCTGCAAAAACAGTGGAAATTGCCAAAAGTGACAAGGAGTTTGTAATGGGTTTTATAGCCCAGAACCATATGGGAGGGGCCGATGAAGGGTTTGATTGGGTGATTATGACACCAGGTGTCGGTTTAGATGATAAAGGCGACAATTTGGGTCAACAATATCGAACTGTGGATGAAGTTGTATCCAATGGAACAGATGTGATTATTGTTGGTCGTGGGTTGTTTGGAAAGGGAAGAGACCCAGTCGTTGAGGGTAAGAGGTATCAAGAGGCTGGATGGCTGGCATATCTAAAGAGAGTTGGAAAATAAAGGCTCTGTTTGTATACTTTGTACAAAGGTTGTGTGATTGTATATACAATGTTAAGGTGTTAAAATATCGGGCTCCTCCATGCTACTGACTAGTCTTGTTCTTGTGATTTCGAAAACAAGCAAGGCTACCGAAGTTGCGGGGATTGTAGTGACGGCATTTCTAAAGAATCCGCTGTATGCAGCTTTGAACCAAGTCACTTTGGCCTTGTGCTTCATCCTGAGCACCTGATTAAACGTGTCGATGTATGAATTATAATACAATTTGACGAATGGCTTGTGTTTTCTGGTGGACTCGCTGTAGATATCCAACGCTTCCAACCTTGACAAGTGTATCTTTTGAATTTTCGTTAGTGGGTATTGCACTGCAAGAAGAGCAAAAGCAGCGGAAGCTCCTGCAATCAAGATGAATGACGTCTTTAGTATCCTTTCCAGCCTATACCTCTCTAGTCTCTGCATCTTCTCGTCGACTTTTAATTCATCCCAGTTGAAAAGCGACTGTAGCTTTCTCTTTATCATATCCTCCTGATCACGGAAGAACTTGAATATCCTGTATGTTATGGTGTACCCTTGAGTCTTGATTGTTTCGAAAGTTGAAAAGTAACACGCAAAACCAAAACTTTCTTTAATCAATGAGAAACTGTAGCCTGCAAAAACACCAACTAGTCCAATCTGTTTCAACTTGTTGATTCCAAATTTCCATAGATTCTCGTGTGAGCCTTCAATCATTTCGGAAACTGACAGTCTGGTGTATATGGCATCTACTGGAGCAGCAGCAAGTGACTGCACCGCCCCAGCAACAAACCCCGCTCGCCATGTGTCAATTGGTGAGTACCAGTTATATTCTGTATTGTGATGATTTCCTCTTTTAGACGTCAAGCGATCCAAGGTGTTCAAATATGTCGCGTACAAGATAACTCCAGTGGCGGAGTTGGCAATCAAAGGGGGCATCACTTGGTCTGGTATGAACTTCCATCCTTCTTTTCTAAGAACACTGACAAGCATACCAATAGATGAATGGGTTCGGAATTTATATGGTTTGTCATTGATGTTGTTGTGTCTATCTGCAAGTGCTCGTACATATGCCATATAATCGAATCTCGATGGGCGAAATAGCTTAACTGGAGACCTAAGATACAAACTTTGTATTTGATATGCGATTGCTCGTATACCTGCTGTCACAACAGACACTGCCTGGTTGCTAGCCTTGTGCTCCACCGTGCCTTGGTCCGTAATCGTTGATGTACCTGCGTCATTGTTTATTACCCCTCGATGGGGAAACACAGAGTAAAAATATTGATACTGCGGAATAATCAACTGCGTATCATTTTCTGGGTGCATCATATGTGTGTCAACAGATTGGATTCGAGATTATGTCGATGCTGCATTGACGGTGATTATATCCTTCCTCTGGTTGTAATCAAGGACAGAAGCGTTTTCTTTATTTAAAGAAAAAGATTTTTATTCTTAATTCATCTTTGTGTCATTCCAGGTAACTCAACCAACACAAATAATCATCAAAGTGGTATCCTTTTGAAATCGGCAAAGCTGACACTGTACATGTATGGAAATAGGCTAAGTTAACTGTTCCACAAGGCGTTGTGAACAATGGAATGTACTTGCCATAGTTACTAGTTCGTTCAGAAGTTTAAGGTAAATCAAACTAATTTTGTTCGAGAGTTATATACACAAAATTACTATAGCTGCAAGGGTGTACCTACTAAAAACATCTGTTAGCAACTTCAATCACCCAAGTATCTCTTCAATCATTAATAATGATACCCCTAACAAAATTGAGTATCATCGTATCGATTACTTCCAAAACCCCGTTACAAACGTGCAAAAAAAGGAAAGAAAAGAAAAAACATTCACGTGACAGCACGTGGTAGAGCGCTACCGTGCTTACAACACTGCACGTTTGTATCGAATTGGAACTTCGGCTATTTTATTACCCAATAACGTTTTCCACCGCTATTGCAACCATTTCTCCGGCTCGCATCAAATTCAGCGATGAGTATCTGCTGCTATCGAATACTGTGAAGTTTACAGCTATTGGCTTTTTATCATTTGCGTTTCCATCTGCAGCAAATACCAATGAATTTCGATCAGGAGACATCAAGTGGGTTGCTGTCAACGGCCCGCAAGGGAAGGATCCTTGGCTCAGTAATATCTCAAAGAGATGTCCATGTTGCAGACATTGTGGACTCCGGTCAAGAAATCCTTATTGTACCTGTGGGTGCGGTGGAGGAGGAGGAGGAGAAGATCACTCACGAGGATGAATGTGATATTCTTGAGGTTGTGGAAATAATGCAAGAAGACGGTAATTCCGAGGCCACAATCCGTGCTAAAGATGACGTGACAGTCGTTTTATATACTATTCGATTGATAAAATAAAGGCACACCAAAAACACCCGTCTGTAGCTACAAGTAATGGCAACTACAAAGTCTTTGCGCCAAAAGCACACAAATCCCTTATCCCATTGTCGGTATATTTCATTGCAAAAATTGCACATATGATCATATACTTATACTTATTTCTGTATATCCCACCGTTGCTGTCAAACAGAATTTGGTTCGATTGAAGGGATTACCCATTGTGGGTATCTAAATATGGGGTTATCAAATATGAAGTACGCTATCATCTTATTGATGGTATTAGTTCCCATTGCAATCACTCAGTCAGAAGTGGAGCACATATTTAACCGTACTCCGGAAATGCAAGAAGCCTTTAATCAATTAAAGAGAGAAACGTGCCACTACAATCAAGAGAATAAGATAATCTGCACAGATCCGTTGAGTAATGTGGATTTTGAGTGTAAACCAGAGTTAGATGTACAAAACATGGATGCTGATGAAGCACTATACGCTGCTGCCACACAATATTTTATCGGCAGTGCATTCGCCCAAAATGAAATTCTCAAAGCGATAAGTTCTAGTAGTTGACATATCGAGACAACAGAAGCAACAGAAAGTCCAAGTTGCCGTAAGTGATGCTTTCAGTGACTACTACTGGAAGGCTGGCTGATTGGCCGAGCTGGTAGAAGTGGCTTCTACACAGAACGTCTCAGGTGTTTACAAATCTCAAGCAGAGGGGAGGTGCACACAAAACGGCTATTGAAATGATACTAAACTGGTACTTACCGACAGTTCCACTAAACCCAAATCAGTCTGCCATGTACAAGGTGAAAATGGTTTGTGCTCCGCTTAGCTGAATTATAACACCCAGTATCTTCCTACTGGATCTTCCTACTGGATCTTCCTCGGACTTGGCCGTGTTTTTTCTAGACAATGCGCCAATGCTAACAAAACTGTCCAGATAGTGTTTTCCAAGTCCAAATCAGTCAATTTGATCTGCGTAGAGACGATTCTGGCTAACACAAAAAAGCAAGTAGCTTTGTCAATAAATGCACATTTCTCCTACAATCCCCTACAAGAATGCTAGAACTGCACGAACGTTGCAATCTAAAGCCTTCAATAGCCAAACAAACTTACCAGTTACCATTTCTGTTCCATCAATAGATGTCCCTATGAATCCCTGTAGAGATATATCTCACTTTGCTTGAAGTATCTCCTCGCATCTTCGTCTATCAACACCAAGGAAAGATAAGTTCTCACAGAAAACTTTTTATTCACATCTTTATAAGTAGGTGTGAGGTCAAACCCGCTCAAAAAGAGTCGGATTGGAATTGTTTCCCCCTTGACTGGCGCGCCATCCATGATTTCAAATCGCACCACCGTCTCACTATCAGTTATCTGTTTAGGACTGGAACCCACCGTCTCCCGTTTTATCAATGATAACTCCATGTGCTTTATTTTCAACCTCACAAGCAAAAAGAATATTCTGCCGATTATCACATCCTTCAAAGAAAAGCGGGATTTGGAATATTCAAATTCAATGTGCAAACAATCTTCGATACCCACATCCATTTTCACTCCATTGGTTGAGTCCTTCTGCTTTGGAGCCGCTTGCATTGAGCTGCGAACGGTGTCTTGTTTAGTTGCCTCGTCTCTAGTAGAAGTGTTTGTATACTGATATACCCAAAGCTCTTTTTCCCTGTTAATTTCGGCATTTGACTTTCTTAAAACTGTCACTTTTACATAGTACCTCAACCTAGCATTTTTCCCTCGGTAGCTTTCATATTGCTTTTCAACATTTCTAAATTCAAATGAATACGATTCCGAGTGGACTAGCTGGCCCGGAGCTGCTAGCTCCGTTGCTAGCGAAAGAAAGTTGGACGACGACAACCCGTCATTGTTGGTCTCAATTGTGCCCAAAAGTTGCACTTTCACCCCCTGATGCTCCACCCTTTTACCTTCTTTTGTAAACAATGTGACAACTCCTTTCACTGTTTCTCCATCCAGGTAAATAGGTAGTTTATCGATTCGCCCATGAGGGTTCTTGACGTCAGCATGTTTGCGACTTTCTTCATTCTCCAACCTGATCTCAATTTCCAATGGCGTTTTGAAAAATATGGACATCGCCGTGTTGAAGTGCTTGTGTGAATGTGTGTTTGCGTGCCCTGTGTGTCTTTATTGAGTGTTTGAGAAGGGTACTTTGCTAGATTGAGGTTAACGTGTTGAAAGAGACGTTGAAATTCATGTTGTCTGGTGTTAAGTGCGGCGGAAAATTAAAAAAAAAAAAAAAAACAAATCATCACCCATAAAGCAATTCCTTCTCGATACTCAAGGAACGGAAGTAGTTCTAACAACCAACAATCGTACCACATTTTGCCTAGTGCATATCTAAGTCAGTCGATCTGTATGCCAAAGGCAGAAATCTAATATAAAGAAACAGAGCGTTTGTGTGTGTGCGTGTGCGTGTGCGTGAGCGTGTGTGTGTTTTCTTTTTCTTGACCCTGTGATATAGAGTCACCAGAATACAATTCCAAGGGGGGAGGGGGACAACTTCGCAAATGTCGAATAATCCATCGTTCGACGAAATAGCTCCTGATTCGGTATCCCCGGGGAGTACTCACACTGGAAGAGGAGATCAACTACTGCCTATTGACACGGTTATTGCCTTGCATGATTTTCAAGGGACTCAGGAGTCACATTTATCATTGACTTTGGGCGATACTGTATACGTCCTAGCCACATCTGCCACGGGTTGGTGGGATGGGGTGATTTTTGACAATGACGGAGAGGCACGCAGAGGATGGTTTCCAAACACCTATGTCAGATCTGTCAACTATGTTCAGCCAGTACTCAAGAAGATGAAAGATAACAAAGAATTGGATTCAATAACGGCCGCCAACACTGCAGCAAATGTCTTGATTCCTTCATTCACAAGCCTTTTGCAAAAAAATCTATTGGAATCGGAGAAGAACTCTCCTTCAAGTGCTACTCGTAAAAACTCAGTTGTTAGTTTCGCCAGCTCGGAGACTAGTATTCCGTCTGATTCAAAGCCCGCAGGCCAGCAGTCACAGGGTAGTGGTGGTGGAGGAGGAGGAGACATCAACTCAGAAACAGAGTCTATACCAAATCGTCCCTCGTATAGTCAAAACTTGAGTCAAGAGACGCAGACTACTCGAAGTGATATCAGCTCCTTGCAAAAACTTCATCTACCCTCCTTGAATTCCTTGGAGGAACCAGCTCTAACAAGCTTAGAGGAAGCAGAGTATTTATCAGAGGAATACAGAACTAGGAATAACAAGACCGTGTCTTGGTTACCACGCTCAACCACGTCGGGAGATTTTGTATTTTATTGCCAACAATTGAATATTTACTGCGAATCGTTGCCGTTGTTGTCGTTTGATCCATCGGGGTTCCCTCCAAATTTGGAGTTCCCGGATGCTGAGAGCATTGAGAATGTCTTGCCGGTAGATTTGACGAGCGCTCAGAAAGCAAGTCATTTGTTAACCTTGAGGGAGAATTCAATTGTTCCTTCTTTTGACTCGGTAAAGAGGGATTCCAACTCATCATTGAGTACCCAAAGCACAAATGCATCATATCACAATTTCAGCAAACCACTTTTTGCTATAGAAGGGTTGTTTTACGAACATGGATCAGATGTAACCAAGTGGTCTATTATGAGACAAGAGATTGAGTCATCGCTTGATTTACTATTAAAATCGCTCTTGAAGCCAACTAGGGCGGTGTTTGACGTGCACTACTCTCGGTTGAACAAATTGATCGCCTTGATTTGTGCGTCGTCACGACTTGATCAGGAAGATTATGTGAATGGTCAATATGAGAGTGCGATTAGAAAGAAGCTTTGGAAAATTTGCCACACAATGTCCCATTTATATTTGAGCAGTGTTTTGTATTTGAACGAATTTGAGAATGGTGATGCTGCTCTGGATATGGTGAAACTCCACTCAATGACCTCCATCCCAGAAGGGCAAAATGTCTTGCAAAATCCACGAGCCCAACAAGGGCCCACAAACCTGACTAGTCACTTACACCCTAATGATCTTGAAAACTCGATATTGAAGAGTATACAATCCGATGTGGCGTATTTAAAGCAACTCGCAAATAGCTTTATCGACATTTTCATGCAGTTGACTGAGGATAAAATTGTGCAGGCAAGGGACTATGACTCTTCTGATATATCCGATGATGAAGGTGTGGAACGGGCTGACGTATTGCCCCAGACATTACCCAGATTCCTCTTGGGAGAGTTTAATGGAGGTAACTGGTGTAATCCATTCTTTGTTCCGAAAAACAACTTTTTAAATGCAAGTGGAAATGAACTCAAGAACAAGCACCACACCAAAGTCTTGCTAGATCACCAAGTGTTGGAGTCTGTGTCTCGTTACCTGGCGGAAATGATTAAACTTGGTGAGGAAGCTTGTAACAAACTTGAATCCGATGGACAGCAGCACGATGGTGATAAGGAGGGTTTCGTAGAGGAGCGAAACTCTCAAGTTTTGCGTCTAATCTACAAATTCCTCCACCACTCAAGTTCGTTGATTGATCTTATGGAGTCGTTTGATTTTACTGTTTTTTGTTTGGTGAAAACACATGAGTACAAGACAGGGAGTGATCTCAAGAAAATGAACAAATCTTTCAATGCATTGTCGTTGCAAGGTCAACATAACAGCACTGATCTCAATTTAATGTTTGATTATCCGATTGTGTTGGATTTTTTTCAATTCAAACAAGAGTTTCACATTTTGGTCCTGCATGTTATCATGGCAACCCAATCACTATCGATTGGCCATGTTGGTCCATTGTATAAAGATTTGGATAACGACCATTATTTGTTTTATGACAGAGAAATCTTGAAAAATGATAATGAAAAAACAGCCATGCTATTATCTGCTGTTCTTCTTGGACGTGCAGAGAAGATGTATGGTGACGGAACCGCTGATTCTGAGGATGTCTTGTTGGACTTGTTACAAGATAGTGTTGGTGCGTGTACCAGTGTTGTTGAGATTACGCAAAAGTTGATTGAAGAACGGGAAACCATTTTGAACTATGCTACTCGAGTCATGCACAATGAGTTTGATGTGCAGTTGTTGTTGATGGAAAGAAACAATACGTTGTCGTCAGAGAGGCTGGAAGAGCACTCGTACTATAGTGGAGGTCAAATGAGTGCAAAAGATGGTCCGTGGTATTTACAAGGTGATTACGAAAGTGACTTGCTTTTGGATGTAAAAGGTAATATCAAGGGAGGGACAAAGGAGGCATTGATTGCTCATTTGACGCATCACGACATGTTTGATAGTCAGTTCAATACAGCGTTCTTGTTGACATTTGCAACCATGATGCCGTTGGGAGAGTTGATAAGATTATTGATTGAGCGGTTCAATATTGAGCCTCCGGAAGGGCTAGGATTTGAGGAATATAATAATTGGATTGTACGGAAACAGAATCCAATCAGGCTTCGAGTGATGAATATAATGAAGTTGTTGATTGAAAAGAATTGGTCGTCGTCGTATTTCAACGAATCTGCAATCAAGAGATGGTTAAATTTCGCTGAATCTGAAGCTGTCCAGTCGTTTTCTATTGGGCGTTTGTTGCTGAATGAAATAAAGAATCTCTTGGCCGGTAAGATTTACACAGTTGAGAGACATCCTGTATTTCCCAATCTGAAACCACCAGCGCCACTAATAAAAGGTTCCACTTTTGTGAAAAAGACCAAGTTGTTGGACATTGACTACGTTGAGCTTGCTAGGCAATTGACATTGAAGGAGTTTAGGATGTATTGTGACATTTCCAAGTTTGCATGCATAGCCAAAGTATGGGGGAAAAAATCGGGCTTGAATGAAAATATTGAGAGTATAACGAAATTTATCAAGTATTCCAACCAATTGACAAACTTTGTTGCCTATATGATTTTGAGGAAATCCGATCCCAAGAAGCGTGTTCAAATCATACGTTACTTTATTCAGGTTGCTGAAAAGTGTCGTCAGTATAATAATTTTTCATCCATGACGGCGATCATATCGGCGCTTTATTCTTCACCCATACACCGGTTGAAAAAGACGTGGAATTTCGCCAGTGCCGACTCATTGGCATTGCTTAAGAACATGAACAAGTTGATGAATTCGAGTCGTAATTTCAATGAGTATCGTGATGTGTTGAAGTTTATTGGGTCTGAACCTTGTGTCCCATTTTTTGGGGTTTTCTTATCTGATTTGACATTTGTGTTTCATGGGAATCCCGATCACTTGTTGAATAGAACTAGGATGATTAATTTTGCCAAGAGAGCAAAAACTTGTGATATTGTTTCTGGTATTGATCGGTTCAAGAATGCTGGGTATAACTTCTTGGAAGTGGTTGATATACAAAAATATTTGGAGGTGTGGTTTGACAAGTGTCCTTCTATAGAAGAGCAATACCAGTTATCGTTGGCGTTGGAAAAGAAGAATTGAGGTACGGAAGGAGACATGAAGTAGAGTTGTGCAATACTGAATAGCCAAGGGCATCTAGGAATAATAGTTTTTGAGTAGCGTAGGCGGTAGAGTTGGAAATCTATGCATATATAAAAGACGTCTTGTGACACCGTATTTTAATATCTCTGTTTTACCGCGGCTAATGTCACATGGCTCCACAAAAGAAGGAGAGAGAAAAATAAAAATAAAAATAAAAATAAAAAAACAATACAGGATACACACTATCAGGTGGGAAGGGTAAATCACAACTAACCGATAACCGAGTATTCCAGATTTACTATCTGACACTTTCAAGCATCAAAGTGTACCCCCATTCGAAACGAAATAACAAACTTCAAAAGAAATGGCTCTTCGATTCCAGAAAAAACGGTTTGAACTACGATCCTTGAAACCTGCATTGATAACGTGTGCTGTAATTGTGGGTGCAGGAGTATTGGTTGTTAACACGTTTCCCCACGTCAAGACGACGTTACATCAGTATTTTCATGGATTAGGAGGAGTTGGAGGAGACCAAGATGATGATGATGATGATGACGAAAGCGATGGTGGCAAGGATGAAGAGGAGAGAAGTTTGTCGGGAGAAACCGTTGTTGTTGAGAGTATACATCGAGACCCGAATGATCCCAACAGGACGATTGATAGCTTTCAGGTTGTACGCTGAGAGGAGAATGAGCAGTAGGAGGAAGGGAAGGGGTTTAATTACCTGTGTGGGGGTTATCTATAGTCTATTATTGAGTCTAGTTAAATAATTAAGTAATGTAAGCCTCATGTTGCACGCAACAATAACAACAACAACAACAACAACAACAACAACAACAACAACCCGTAGCAACTTCTCTATAATCTCCTCTCTTTGTTGTAATTGGCCAAATCTAAAAGTGATTATTTTGCAATCGAAGTTAGGTTGATTGTAAGTAGTGGAAGGATTAGGCACGATTTTGTCACTCTTCAAGTTCTGTAATAATCATTGTATACATCAGATGTTTGGCTGTTTCCTTTTTGCTTGTTTTGCTTGCCCCTCCAAGATTGTAAACCCTTGTCAAAGATAGTTTTGGTCAATCCTAATGATTCATTGGGGACATGAACAAAATGACAATTTACACTAGCAACATCTCTATTTCTCAACTCATCGTCAAACAAAATAAACTCCCCTTGTTCCAATTCTTTGAGCAACCCCAATTGTTTTGCTGCAAGCTTGATATGCTTAGTCTTGGATCCCTGTCCCCATTCCAAAGCATCAAAATAATGAATGGCCAGCTTGTTGTTGATGTGAAGTAGAGTGAGTAATTTCTTAGCAACTTGAGGTGTTGCTGTTCGACTGGCTGCAATTATGGTGACGTTACTTGCCACAAGTTCTAGTATTATTGACTCTACGTGCGGGTAGAAAGATAGTTTTGTGCCCAGTGAATCAACAACTTGGTTATGTGAAAGTGATTTTAGGGGTGGTGATATGTGAGTGTCGCACCAGCATGGCCATAGCGTGTAGTCTAGGTCAAACACCACAGCTGTTGGGTAGGCAGAATTGTTGGACATTGGGTGTGTTTGCTTAGTTGGGGGTCTTGTTGATGGTTGAAGAAGGGAGTATGTTTGACTCAATTGATTGTAGCAGTGATGATGGTGGTGATGACAAAAGTTGAAAAAAAAAATAAAAAAAAAAAAAAAAAGGGTATTTGAATAAGGTGAATAAGTAGTAAAGAGAATGTAATGTTATAGATCAACCACGAGTAAATTCGGACGCGTTGCTAATGACTTGAACTGGATATCTAACTTCCTCTATAATTATAGGCGTCCTGATCTCTATTTGAGAATAAATAAGAAAAAATAGTAGAATGAAGGATCAGGTAGAGAGTGATTACTAGATTTTGAACTGAAATTGTTGCAAAAAGATAATTTGAATGGTATTACTAATAGTAGAAGAAGAAGAAGAAGAAGTAGAGAGCGGGCAAGTAGATAATTGAAAGCCATCGGAGTCCATCAAATTTAACCTTTCTTAAGCTTTTAAATAGCTTTTCATTAGCGCTGTATATGATGTACATCATAGAGTGTGGTTATCTTGTCGTTAAACTAGTACGCAAGCCACAGTCGGGAGTTCTGTGCAGATTCTTTTTCAATTGTCTTTATATATACCTTCAATCTTTATCTATCTAGACATACTTTCTTTAGCTATAATAGCACTAAACCATCAACATTCTGGTGTTTTGACTGTTGGCTACTGACTACTACTGACTACTACTACTGCAAACAATCATATAAAAGTAGTGTACCATTGACTAAACTTCTAGTCACGTCTCGTTCTTTCTTCCCCCCCCTCTCCCCCCCCCACAGTTTTTTTTTGTAATTAATACGCTACCATTTACTTTTGTATCAGTTTATCAATTTATATATTCTATTTGTATTTTTATATTATATATAGCAAACAAAAAAAAGTATTACAAGGACATTTCGGGGTGGAAGGCGAGGAGGAGGGGGGAAAGTATAACTCACATACACACACACACACACACTCTTTTCCTATACTATCTTTCAACCACAACCCACACAATCCACACAATCCACACACTAACACACGCTAACACACACACACACTTCAGTATCCACCAATTAGTCAACTAACCAGACTGTGCATTGTGCTCTCTAACTGTTTTTTATTTTTATCTTTTTCCCCTTCCCACAATTTTGTTATTGACTAAGCTAATATTCACGCCTCCGTGTGACTACTTTTTTTTCTCACTCCAATAGTCGTACAGCATATCCACTATCCAACATGCCTGGCTCTAACCAAGTTGTGGTCATCAATATTCACGTCTTTGGCACCCATTCCAATGCCAATCCTAATCCTGGACAAGTAGGTGGGCCCAGGGGCAAAAGTCACGACAAAGGAGTTGAAAGTGATGCTGCAGCTGCTACCACTTCTCACACTGTCTTGAAGGACACCTTACGTGCAAGAAAGGATGACTTCTTAGCTATCAAATCAAAACATGATTTGTTGGACTATATCAAGCCCAAGTTGCCTCCTCATACGTTACCCAAGCTGATCAGGTATTTGAAATTCACAAGAAAGTCAAAGAAGCACAAGTGCTTCATTCCTTTGGATAATGAAGAAGATTTCAAGTCTCTTGCAAGGAGCTTGAAAGTGAAGAATCATGTCAATTTGAACGTGGAGATGTTGCCATTATCTATTGTCTCTTCATCGTCTCTGGAGGCAACGCCATCTAAGATGTCAACACCATCCCCATCTCGATCAGCATCCTCATCGTCAACGTCATCATCATCTTCAGCCAGAACCGCAGTAACTACAGAAACTACAGCAACAACAGCAACAACAGCAGGAACAGCAGGAACTGCAGAAACAGCTGCTACAGCTGATGCTACCTTACCCCCTATTCCATCAATTGATTTCGCTAGGTTGGGAGATGCTTTGCTCGAAGCAACTTTGGAGCATTTCAAGGACTTCTTTATTGAAAACAGACATAAGGAAACAGATAGCAAAGAAGACCCAACTGGTACACACAAAAATAAAGAGTCAGGTGCCACTTCATCATCCTCCGGAGCCGACACCACAGCCAACAGTAAGGACACTTTTCGTCAAGAAGACACGGTTGTGGTGCATCCCAATATCGCATGTGACAGATGCTCTCCTGACGACTTTGTTCCTCTCAAGGGAGTTAGATATTGCTGCTTGGTTTGTTCCAATTATGATCTTTGCGCAGACTGTGAAGGTGAACAACAAGCTGCAAAATTGACTTATGGATCTCATTCATATTTGCATCCAATGGCCAAAATAACCGAACCAGACTCTTTTACAAGAGACTCATTTACCAATAAGTTTAATGTCAATGGTGCGGGACGCGCTGGCGCTGGTGGTGTCGGTGTTGGTGTTGGTGGTAGTTTTGATCCATTCACCGATTCGAGACCCAACGACATTATTTATGATATCCCATTCCTCAGTTGCTCTGCTGAAAATAGATTGAGATTGGAGAGCCTTCTTCAATCCAAAGGATTTGAAAATTTCATCAAGAATGTTGATGGCTATATCAGCAGAAGCGACAAGTATTCACAGCTATTGAGTATTTTGGATGCAAATGGGTTTTCATTTTCCAATCAAGATGACAGCCATCGTTTTTTGGAAGTGTGCATTGAGGACTATTTGTTGAGAAAAGCTTTCAAGGAATCGGTTAATGAAGATGAAGCTGGCGAAGAAAACCAAGCTGAGCAGGCTGAAGAAGGTGAACAAGATGAACAGGATGTTGACGTCAACAAAGTGACTACATGCGACGCTGTAGTCAATTTGAGTTTAGGTTCAAAGTCAACAAAGCTGTCTATTCAGTTGATCAATAAATCCAGCGTCACCATAGACGGCGGTGATTTCCAAGTTGAACTTGTTGATGGTAGTGGAGAAAAGTACAGTTCATGGGTCAAGTCAGCCGCCATCAAGCCAGGTCAAGTGAAGTTTTACAAGTTGAACCCAATTCCGCAAGAATTTATATTCAATGATCACGCGAAATTGGCTATTCTGACACCAAAGTTGGCATTAACTAGCTTTGCATCAAATCAATTTGAATTTCAGATGGAGATGACGATTGAGAGCACAGAGGAGCAACAATCAAGGGAACAAGGTGAAGTTGTCATCTCAACTACGTCCAAAGAGAAATCCGCAAACGAGCTTGAGTTAATTAATGACTACGCAACCTCTCAAAACCCAGATGATGTCACTGTCTCCTACAAGATACAATCAAGACTGATTTTCAGTGTTGAAGTTCGAAACAATTCAAGCACGCCCTTCACCGGCCATAATACAAAGGGCTGCGTCTATGTGCAAGGAGAGGAAGTCATGAAGCTGGAATTTCACCATCCTCATGGGTTCAAACGAGGACTTCCTGCTACTTTCAATTTTGTCTCTCCAAAATACGACTTTTCAACCAACAACGACTTCGCTAATTCCCAAGTCAGGTTGGAGTTTGAATTTGATGGCAAAAAGGCTGAATGCTACTTTTTTGAGGGTCAAACGGAAGCGAGCTTGATATTTTTGAATAATGAAGAAGGCAGTGCTAGCAGCTCTATCACATCAACAGAGGAGAAGTTTGAAATTGTGGATGAAGAAGACAAAGGTGGTGATTCTGTTGGGTTGGCAAAAGATGTGTCGGAATCTTTAGACGACAATGCAACTACGAGACTGGTTTCATCAGCTCAATCAGCTTCCTTCCACTCGATGCGTTTACCAGTTTTAGCACGTGAAAGTGTCGACTTGTCTGAATTTATGGATGCCAGGAATGGATCTGGAAAGGATGAAGGAGATAAAAACGATTACGACGTGTTGGAAGAGGATGAGATTGATTCTGATTACGAGATTCTTTCGTTAGCAAGCACTGATTCTTTTTAGGATTTTCATTGATCTTTTGGTCTTTCTTTTTTTTATGTTTAGTTTGGTTTGATTCTGGATCTGTTTTCATGGGCAAGCAGCTCCATTTTTTTTGGTTTAATTCATTATGTTCTGTTGTAATTGCTCTATTGTCATGTAACTGTAGTTTGGAGTAGAGGGGTTGTTGAAATCTTCTTTTTCTTAAACTTGAGTGCGGCAAATATTTTTGTCTACACAAGTGAGCCGCATTCGCAGTCCGATCGAGGTTGATACCGGCTCTAGTAAGTCCTTCACGTGGACGCAACTACGATCTCATACTTTACGTTGTCCACTACAGACTCGTATATATGCTCAAGGGAAGATATACA